ATAAAGGAAAAGACTGATTCATCTGACACTTATTAAAAAAAACAAAAAACTTTTGTATGACCAAAAATACCATAAGCAAGAGTTCAAGGCAAATGCAAATGAGAAAAAAAAGTCTGTAACTTCTATCACAAATACAAGGCTATCACTATTAATATAGAGAGATCTTTAAAACATTGAGGAGACAAAAGACCAAAAATCAAATAGAAGATTGGGCAAAATATATTAATAGTCACAAAAAATATATAAAAATAGCTTTTAAACATATGAAACATAGTCAGCTTTACTCATTTTAAGAGAAACTCAAATTAAAACCACCTGAGATTCTATTTCTCATCTATTAGATGGGCAAAAAATCAAAAGGTTGACAATACATTCTGTTGGTGAGACAGCGAGGAAGAACACTCAACTTCATGTATTACTGAGTCACAATGGTTCAATCCATATAGAGGGGAATTTGGTGATATCTAACAACATTACATATGCAGCTAACCTTTGACCCTGCAAGCCCATTTCTAGGAATTTATCCTGAAGATAAACCCCCAACAACTGAAATATTCATATGCAAGGCTATTCATTGAAGCATTATTTGTAACGGCTACTTTCAAACACTATTTAAATGGTCAAACAAATGAGACTGAACAAACTGGGATGTCCACACAAGGAGAACAATGCAGCTGTGAAGACAGAACAATAATGAATTGGAATAAATGAATGAATACATTAAATGGCAAAGTGCAACAGAGAAAACACACACAGTACAACCTTTTGTGTAGAAAACAAATGGAAGTAAGAAAACATACATATATCAGTTGATGTAATGAATTCCAGTATACACTAAGAAAAAAGCAAAGTGCAACAGAAAATATATAGAATGCTACCTTTTGTGTAGAAAATAAATGGAAATAAGATGCATATATAAGAGTAAACACAGGAAGGATAAACCACATTATAAAGCATCAAAATAATAATTGCCAACAAAAAACTATAATCCATCGGCTAGACTAATAGTCTGTGAATCGATAATGGTAATCAATCAGTCAGAACAAGGAAAATTCTTCCTTACAGCAGAATGTAGATAGAAAAATGGAGGTTTTTTTTTTTAAGTCACCATTTTGCAACCATCGTAGTAATAACCAACTCAGGCAGAAATTATTAAAGGATCCTAACATCTTGAGTGAAAGTTTGATGAGGAATAGGATATTTACATAGATTTCAAAGCATCTCTCCATAAAAGTTCTTACAAATTACACAAGGAAAAAATAGTAACTTAATAGAGAAGAAATTTTGAGGACCCCAGTTAACCAAGTTATCAGAGTTAACATAATCAGGACAGGACAAACAGATGTCATGTGAGTTCTGATATGATACACTGAGGACAAAATGATCATGTATGTAGTATTCTAATGTATAACCTGAACCTACACAGGAGGAAACATCAGACAAGCTCACACTGGGAGACATTCTACAATGTGAACGGCCTATACTCTTGAAGACGGAGAGAAGTGCTCCACATTATCAAGACATGACAACTAAATGCAATGCATGATCCTGCTCTGGATCCTGAACTGGGAAAAAAAGTGTTATAAAGAGATACTGAGACAAATGGTGAACCTGGAATATGGACTATGGATGAATCATATTTTTATTGATGTTAAGTTTCCTGAATTTGATGCCTGAATCATGTAAGAGAATTCTATGTAAAGGAATGTCCTTGGTCCTAGAAAATACACAGCAAAGTGCTCAGGAGCAAAGGAATGTGATGTATGCAATATACTCAAATTGTTCAGAGAAAAATATTTACGGGACAAGGAGAGAATAAGAAAGCAAATATGACAAAATGTTAACAACTGGTGAATCTGTGTTTGAAAGGGTTTACGAAAGGTTCTTTTTCCCTACAATTCCTTGTAAATTTGAGTTTTTTTCAAATAAAATTGAAAATTATTTTTCCAATCAGATTAAAAAATGGTATCTCACTTTGATGTATGTTTAATTATGTGTAAGGGTGAGCATCCTTTCATATATTTATTTCACATCTGAATATCTTTTTATGCATTGCTTATTCATGCCCTATTTTTCTACTGTGCTTTTCATGGTTTTCTCACTGCCATTTGTTTCATGGGAATCAGTGGGCTTTTTTTCCTGTCATATATGTTTCAAATGGGTTTTTTGAGTTTGGCATTGACTTTTTTTAATTTTTAATTTTGGTATCATTAATCTACAATTACATGAGGAAAATTGTGAGTACTAGACTCCTCCCATGACCAAGTTCCCCCCACATACCCCATTGCAGTCACTGTCCATCAGCATAGTAAGATGCTGTAGAATCACTACTTGTCTTCTCTGTTGTACATCCCTCTCCGTGCCCCACCACCACATCATACATGCTAATCATAATGCCCCATTTCTTTTTTCCCCACCCTTATCCCTCCCTTCTCACCCATCCTCCCCAGTCCCTTTCCCTTTGGTAACTGTTAGTCCATTCTTGGGTTCTGTGAGTCTGCTGCTGTTTTGCTCTGTCAGTTTTTTCTTTGGCATTGACTTTTGATTTAGTGTGTATGGTACTTTGCTGTTATAAAGAACAAAAAATTTAAATTTTTATACAATCAAATTTATCAATCTTTCTTTATGGCTTCTGGCTTATATCCTGCTTAGGCCATTTTTACTTTCAGCCTACTAATGCTATCTTCTAGAACTTTTAGCATTTCTTTTTGAGTTTAAATTATTTCCCACTGGGAATTCCATCTGTTTAAAGAGTTTATTTTTTTCTCCCAAATTGCCAATTTTCCTAATGACATTTATAAAACTTTCCCCCACTGACTTGAAATGTTTGCTTTTGGACTCTTTTCAGCTCCACTGATCTGTTCCTTCTCTAACACCAAAATGCTTATAATGTTTTAATATTTGTTAAGGCCAATGGCTCTAATACTAATTTTCATAAATTTCCTGACTATTCTAGCATCTGCACATGTTTAAAAGACACATATTTTCTCCTTCTGAAAACGATGCCTTCCTTTACATCTCATGGCCCCACACTTCTGGCTTTCCTCTTTCTTCTCCAGGTACTCCCAGTGTCCTTTGCCAGTTCTTTCACTGACCATCTTTCAATACCGGAAGAATTTTAGAGCTCTTCTCTTCTCCCCCCACTAGGTGATCTCTTTGGCACTGATTGTTTTACTTTGTTCATGTGTTATTTAATTCTAAGAAAGTTTTAATTTTTCACACAAACTTATCAATCTTTTCTTTTATGGCTTCCAGGTTATGCCCTGCCTAAAAAGGATTAAGTTGTATTTTAATTCCTATGAATTAAATACTATGTGGATGACTGCTAAATTTTAATCTCAGTCTAACCTCTTTTCTAAGATAGACTCATAAACAGTTGTTTGCTCAGTGTAGATATCTCACAGTCATTTCAAACTGAATATATCTAAAACAGAACCTATGATTTTATCTCCTTAAACTGTTCCTCTCTCCAGCACATATGTAGTACAAATTCCCAGAAACAGGATTGCTGAGTCAGAGTGCGCAAAAAGTATGTAATTTTGATAGATATTGCCAAATTTCCTTTAAAGGGGCTGTATCAATTTAGACTCACACTAGTCATGTAGCTATTTCTCCATGGCCTGTCAACAGGCTATGCAATCAAACTTCTGGATATTTATAGTCTGATAGATAAAAAATAGTACTTTAGTATAGTTTTGTGTTTCACTTATAAACAAGCTTAAGTAGATTTTCATGTTTAAGGACAATCTGAATTTGTTTACTGTCCATTTCTGTTAGGTCCTTTGTCTAGGTTATTGACCAACAGGAACTCTTGATGTATTAAGGAGACTATTTTTGTGATATGAGTTGCAATATTTTTCCCCATTTTGTCTTTGACTTTGGTCTTTTTATTATTGTTTTGTTTTACCATGTAGGAATTCTTTTCTTTTATATAGTCAAATCCACCAATATTTTCTTCTATGCCTTCTCAGTCAATTAAAAAAGCTTTCTTCATAAAAGAATTGCTCCATATCATCTTCTAACATTTTCATGGTTTCATTTTGTATTTTTAAATCTTTGATCCATTGGAGGTGATCCTGGTGTACTGAAGAGTGATGAAAGTATAAAATGGACCATGTCTTCTTTTTGCTTAAAACCTGTTAGTGGTTTTCTATAGCTCTTGAGTAAATTTCAGATTCTTAACATGGTCTAGCTCCAGTGTCATCTGGCTCCATTTCTTCTGTTAAGATCATCATATAACATTCTCCCTTTTGCTGTCTGGGTCTCACTGGGGTCTTTCAGTTCCTCAAACTAATTATTCTTCATGCCTTAGAATTTTGCATGAGCTGTTTCAGAACCAAACTGAAGTCTCTCTGCAATGCACTGTTAAATCATCCAGGGCTGCTGCTGGTAGCATCTACTAACTGTAATTAAATATTTGTGTATTCATGCATTCAGTGGCTGTCTTCCGTGCTAGAGTAAAGTCCACGAGAACAGACTCTCCAGGTGTCTCGTTCACTACTGTTGTCTTTGTCCCAAGCACAGCAGCTGAAACATGGCAGCTTTACAAATAGTTATTGAATGAATAAATGAAAAATAATGGATAATAGAAAACTCTTTTGATATCTAATTTCATTTTTTCTGTTACTTCATCAAATAACCTCTGATCAATAATTTATTCTGCTGAACAATCTACATCATTAGGAAGGAAATGGTTCATGGAAATAACTGATATCAGCTATCTTATCAGACACAGATCTCTCTATGAATTAATAAACTGTACTGTGGCTTTTAAGTTAGCCTTTTATGAATATGGCTAGGGAGAATCAATCTCTAAACTTTAACTTCTGCAGACAGAATACAAAATTGGCCTCTAAAATTTAAACTAGGCTTAGAATTTATAACAACTTATTTGATATTATGAGTTAGAATCAGCAGGGACGTGTTAGCAGATTTTTTAACCTATATTGCTCTCCTGACAAATACATTTGAATGCATTTGAATGACCAAGTACAACTCACCTCTTGAAAGTTATGTTGAGTGAACTTGTCTGCTATCCTTAGTAACTCACGACATGAATGTGTGTCAGCAAAAGCCCGGATGCCCAAGCAGTTAGAAGGATCTAATTGTCTCTTTAAGAATTCACAGCAAGCTTCTTGTATTTCTGCTAGCTGGAGGAGGCAAGCAGCTGGCAGAAGTGTCTGAACATTGCCCTCTTCCACAGTTATCTGGGAGGTATATGCAAAGTCAATTAGTAGTTCCATAGCCCTCTCATCTATGTCTCGGATCACTACTTCTGTCTGACGGCTCTCGGCCAATTCTCCTGTAAACATAGCTCGGAAGTAGGGACTACAGGCTGACAAAATGACTCGATGGGCATAGATCTTCTTAGCGCCCACAACTAGCACCACATCACATAGCTCACGGTGCTTTCTCAGGAGGTTGATCACTTCCAAGGTTTGTCGAGGGTGCTTGTCTGAAATATAGGGCATACGGGCAGGTTGGGGAACCCCTTCTGGCAGTTTGTTGGGGTCTCCAAGGGTGCAGCGGCTTGTTACATCCATTCCAGTCTCTCCTGGTCGAATGTTGGTACACCTACAGTAATGTGGGGAGAGAGAAAAGAAGTTGGCAGTATTATTAGAAGCTCACTCCTGCCATAAGATGGTCATAAGCCAGATATAGGGAAGCCTGTAGGTAACCAAAACTTAGGAGTATGCTCCCAGAGAGCTTCCTTTTAAGAACTCTAGGACTCATAAACTGCCTTTAAGACTCTTGAAGAAGGTACAGTATTAATTCTAAGTCAGAGCACTTCCACTATGTACTCCCATAAAATAAAGGATATTGCTTTTTTCATCTCACATGTAGTAAAACTAGTCTGTCTTGGGCCATTATCTTTTACAACTGCCTGCAATTCATTAATAAACATTTATGAAAAACATTTGTAAATTATTTTATCTCTGCATGAAACAGACTTATGGACTTTAATTTTTTAATATGGTTTAACCAAATCTTGATATTTGTCATTTTTCTAAACCACAGAAATGTTTACTTCTCATTATCACTGGTTGATATTTTAAATTTCTCTGAGGTTCAGTGCAGAGTCTTGCCATTTGTGACATGGATAGACCTAGAGGGTATTAAGCTAAGTCAAATAAAGTCAGACAGAGAAAGACAAATACCATATGATTTCCCTTATATGTGAAATCTAAAAAATAAGACAAAGGAACAAATAAGTGAAAACAGAAATAGACTCATAAACAGAGAACAAACTGGTGGTTACCATAGGGAAGGGGGATATGGGCATGGGCAAAACAGGTGAAGAGGATAAAGAGGTACAACTTAGAAATATAAAATAATTAAGTCATATGAATGGAAAGTAGAGCATAAGAAATACAGTCAATAACTGTTTTTTACAATAATATTTTTTATAATAATATTATAATAACTACATGGTAAAAGATGGTAACTACATTTATCATGGTGAACATTTCATAATGTATATAATTGTCAAATCACCTTAATACATCTAGAACTAATATAATATTATGTCAACTATAGTTCACTAAAAAGAAGAGAAACTGAAAAAAAAGAATATCAGATCTAAGCTAATGTGCTTCAATTAATATTTAAATGAATTTTGAATTAATCATACACCATCAAGTCTGGATTGAAGTTTATCTTTACTAAGAAATACTTTCTTTGTAGTTGCTGAACATTAAAGTGGCAAAGGAGATGGCAGGTGAAACATTTTTTACTTAGCAGGACTCTTAAGGCCCTCCAGACAAAGATTTTTTTAAATAACTAATTGAAGTTAGAGATAATAAATCTGACAATAAGCCTCATTTGTTTAAAAGTACTTGTATGTATTCCTGCTGAGTAGGTCAGAATCAATAAAGTTTTAGTATCACTACAAAAGAAATGTATAGGTCCATAATAGATATTTAATAGTTTTCTAAAAGTCTAATTTTAAGTTGGCTGTTTGGAGGTTATTATTTTTCCCTGGTCAGGGTGCTGCAGATGGGGGCTAGGTGTAGCTGTAAAATCAATTCTGGGCATCACAAGGGACACTAAAAAAATAAAACAGAAGAAAAAATATTGGTATATATTCTATTTGGTCGAGTATGTTTCAATCTGTGTGTGTGTATACACCTATAAATTCATATATATTTGTATAACTGGGTTCCTGGGTAAGCTGTAGGTTTTATCAAAAAGGTTTAAAAGCCATTGATAATAGAATTCTGGCTGAGTCTTGTAGTCCCAAGCTACTAGGGCCCAAGCTACAAGGAGAAGGAAGGAAGCTCTTTCATGCGGGAACTGCTCAGAGATTTCTTGTTGCTGGTGTTTTTAGTGGCGTTTAGGTGGGGTGATAGCTGGAGCTTGGGTCACTACCTGCATACAAAGACCTTGGAAGTTTGCTGTATATTTTAGTATGTATCACCCAAACTGTGTTAAAGGACATACTCTTGAAAGGCTGTAATAATTCTTTTCTCTCAAAAAGGCACATAACAAAGGGGGTTGTGGATGGGATAGGGTTTGTAAGTTTCTCAAATTTGACGAACACCGCATTATAGGATCAGGGTATACATGTCAGTGTTTACACATTCTATAGGTTGATATTCTCCATGAGTCTTTAAGTATGAAAAGTGTCCTTCATTGTTTGGCATAATCTGTTACCTGGCTTGAAGAGTGTTGGTCTAGATTTGGAATAGAATGGATCATCAGATCATCTAACATGATACTCTCCTTGAAGAAATGAGAAACCTGATTTGATGAGGTGACTTCCTCAAAATGATGAAGCTTTTAGCAGTACAGCAGGTCTCCTGATGCTTTTGGATAAACCACAACTATCTCCTGAGGTACTGTGAATACTTAATACCTGATTCATGCGAGTGCTGGGGGGGTGTAGTTTGTAGGATTCTTTACCAATCAAAATAAGATTTTGCTTTTTTCTTATTGATTATCCAAACTTCTATACAAGTCATTTTTAAAAGCCCAGGAAGCTGCACTAAATGCAGGTTTTTCTGATCCAGTCAATATAAAGAACTTCACCAGAAACTATCTATCAGAAAACTGAAGTAACTTGGTAAAAAAGGCCTACAAAATGAATTTCAGGTTTAAGGAAATATGCATAACAGAACTGAACCTAAGTCTTTTCTATCTAAAATAACTGCAATGGTCTAAGAAATTTTCAGAATTATCTTTAAATGTTTCTAAAATATAGTCAAGGGTTTATTACCTTTTAAAAAGTTATTCCAGATAATACATAAGAGAAGCAAATTTATAACATATTTACACTTCATATGTAGAAACTCAGGTGCTAACTTACCAGAGAAATGCCACAAACTTAAATTATTGACAAATAATTAGAGCTAAGATATTACGATTTTCATAATCATCACATTATCTATAATCATGCAGAGACAAAAGAATCTATGCTCCTCAGTTGAGAGTAATTATTCTTTTAACAAATATTTACTAATTCCTTATAAATTACAAGGCATTTTGCTTTGAAGGGAGGAAAATTCAAAGTAATATAAAGAGGTAATCAGGAAACCTAATTGTATAGAAGGGGAGATACATAAATAAACAGAAAGAGGGCAACTAGGAAAAAAAAAAGTAGTTTAGAAAGGCAAAATCTATAAACTGTTCATACTGGGAAGATCCTAGATGTGACTGGCAGAAGCTATCTGGCTACTATAATTAATTGTGTACATTTTGTTATAAAGTAGGAAGGAATATTACAGTAGGTTTTTCCGGAGCTTAGGTTAGATATCCTACACACATGCTCCAGATCATTGTTATTTCTGTTTTTTGATTCTCTGCTCTGATGAATAATTCTTCCAAAGGCATTATCACTACCCCCAAAGCTGTAGCACTGACAAGAACCACAGTGTAATAAAACAACCCTGGGAAATGAATTTAAAAACACATTTTGAGAAGAGACTGTATTTACATTACAAAGGCACAACCTGAAAACAAAGAACACATTCTTCCTTTCTCCAACAGCAACCTGGTTCTCCAAAGTACTTATAAATTCAATCTTTCTATGCTTGGCCTCAGCTGACAGGTGAGTCTGTGTTCTCGAGAACATTCTGACATCTGGTAGGAACAGCACTGTTCATGCTTGACAATTTAAGACAGAAACAAAAGCTGAGAGGTTAAAGAATACTTTTTACCACCCATATGAACAATCAAGGAAGATTTCACAGTCTCTTGTATCTAGTAGATGCTGAAGGAATAAATCAATTGGTTAACAGTGGTATAGTCAAGCTTCTTTAAAAAAGTACCACCATTAAAGATAGGATCAATTCAAAAATTCCTATTATAATACTACATTGCATGTTGAAATAAAAGGGTTTCTGTTGCAACCCTAATTATGTACATAAAGATGATACTGTTGAAACTCAGATATGAACAATATTTCACCTAAGTACAATATGGAAGCTAATTTTACACACCAACTTTTTCCTTTAAATGTATAGCATAGCAAAAAAAAAACTGTGTGGTTATTATTGCATTAGTATAGATTATGACTTTCAATAATGGCTAATTTCTATACTCTTGTCAATTGTCTGGTTTGCAAAGCTGGAAGGAGTTCTCTTAAATGTGATCATTCTCCAAAGTTCTATCCTCTTCCCGCTCTTGAGGGAGCTCATCTAATCCCATGGTTCCCATCACCCACATGTAAATGGCTAAAAGATCCTTATCTCCTATCTGGATAAATTCTGAATTCAGATCTTATGAGTGTCTCATCATCATTCAAACTCAGTACATCTCAATGATCTATCTAAAATTGATTCCTTGATTTTCTGCCTTCCCCAACATGTGTTTCCTTTAATCATCCCCAGATTAATAAAAGGCAATTTCATTCTTCTGGTTGATCAGGCTGAAAATTTTGGAGCCCCCTCCTCCTCATACCTTCCATCAGCAAATCTTGTCATTTCTACCTCCTAACAGAATCCAACTATTTCTCTACATCTCCACTAGCCCCACCCTAATTCAGGCTATCCTCACCTTTAACAGCCTCCTAAGTGTCTTCCTGCTTCCACCTTTTCCAGGTTATATCCTCTTCTCTAAACAACCAAAATGATCCCTTTTGAAAAGTCAGATTATACAACTCCTCTGCTCAAAATTATTTATAAACACTCAAGTAGAAACAAGGCATATAAGGTTTACCAGCTTCTACATGACTTTCTTCCCTGGCTAACTCTCTGAATTCATCTCCTACTACTTCACTCTTGCTCACACAGACTTCCTTAGCATTTCTGGGACATGCCAACGCTTTTCTTGCCTCAGAGCCTATTCCTTCATCTGCAAAGGTTCCTCCCCCAAATACCTGGAGAGCTTGCTCCCTCATTTCTTTCAGATCCCTGCTCAAACATCAAAACTTATCAGACCACCCTGTATGAAATAGCATTTCTTAATTCCTACTACTCTACACCCATTACTTGTTTTTCTTCTAAATATATTACTTCCTGACATAATATATTGGCTTTCTTCCCAACTACAATGCTAAATTCTGTGAAAACAAGGCCTTTGTTTTCTTTTGTTTGCTGTTACCCCAACACCTACATCCAGTGTTCATTAAAGAGTTG